TATACTTCAGTCAGACCAGTGTTACAGTACAGCAGTTCTGAAGTAACATGTACGTGTTTGAGGACACCTACAAGCACCTAGCTAAAGTTGCTTTTCTTTTCTTATCCCTGTTTTTCACTACTGTGCTGTGTGATAGGGCATTCAGTCCACTGCATTTTCTGAAGAACAAGTACCGAAACTGCCTCACTGGTGCTAACCTGGAAGCTTCCCTTCTAGTTTCACAGGGAAACTGAGATCCTGCAGACTTTCCATTCAAAGAGCTCCTGAACTTTTGCAAATAGTCTGTTCCACACAATGGATGTGTTAAAACCCAGAACTTTAAATTTCATTATCACACTGTATTACTAAAGTACAATAAAACAGGATTATGTTTGTTGTTACTATTATCATTATTACTGTGTTGGATTGATTTTTTGTCTGTTTCTGAAAGAAAAAAATTGGTCATATCTGCAGATTTTTCTCATTATTATTTGGACTTCTATTATGTCAAAGCATTTTTAAGTTTACTTCAGAATTGTTGTACAGACCAAAAAAGCAAAAGAATCAACAACAAAGAAGACAAGAACGTGCAAAGCACCTTATTTGTGTTTCTATACTGTTTAGGTCCAGTAAAGAATAAAGACAACTGTGCATTATTTATTTCGATTATTGAGTCTGTAAAAAAAAAAAAACCCTACATAAATAGATTACAATGATTTGGATGTATATATATGCATATTTATTTATTTTTCCTAAAGTATTTTAGGAAAAAAAAAGTGTCAGTGCAGCCATCACCAATAATTAGTGGCTGCACTCTGAGGGCACCAAAAATTTGTTGGGAGAACTCTGATCTAAAATGTCTCATCCCACTAGAATTACCTTAATGCTGCAATGTATTTATTACATTCTTTGTGCTAGACTGATTCCTCTGGGTCTTAATTGCAGGAGTTGATAACCCTTAGACTGCACCCTTTGGATGGGTTCTATCTATTGTTTAATAAAAATATCCTTGGTTTTCTGGTTCCTCCAAATCCCATCGCATGTGATTCAAATCCTTGTCTATCTTAGGGCTTGTCTTCACCACGGGGCTAAGTCTACCTAGATTACGCTACTTCAGCTACATGAATAAAGTAGCTGGAGTAGACATAGTTTAGGTCGACTTACCCCAGTGTCTTCATGGCACTGAATCAATGGGAGACGCTCTCCGGTCAACTTCCCTTACTCTTCTCGGAGAGCTGGAGTACCGGGGTTGACCGAAGAGCACTCTGCCATCGATTTAGCGGGTCTTTCCTAGACCCGCTAAATCGATCGCTGCTGCATCAATTGCAGCAGCGTTGATCTCTCTGGTAGAGGAGACCAGCCCTAAGTTACCTAAAATAAGTGCAACAGCAACTTAAAGTGGTGCAACAATGTGGCATTTTTGTTGAGAATCATCGGGAAATAACAGAATTCAGTTCTTAATAGCTCTAGCACAGACACACTCTGTGAGCTTGGACAAGTTACTTAATTTTTGTGTTCCTCAGATTCCCCAATTGGGAAATGAGGAAGAGTAAGTTATTTGTGAAGATTAATTCATTAACATTTGCAATGCCCATTGAGAGTGGAAGTTAATCAGGTTAAAATTTTACATACAAAAAGTTTTCCTGATTAAAATTGGTCCTTTCTGGAAATGGAACTTTTCACAAAAAATTGTCAACCCATGGGAAATCTTCTTTTGTGAAATTTACCATGATATGCATTAGTTTTGATGCATATCGTTCCATTGCTAACATTTTTGTATGCTAAAAACATCTTTTTGGTCAGCAAAAATATTTCATATTGATTTCACACATTATCTTAATAAGCATTCCAATTATTAAAAAAAAATCACTGAAAGTTTCATGAAAAACATAAAATAGGTTTATTTCCAACCCGGTGAAACGAAACAGTTAAACTTTTCCCCCAAATTGTCTTTTCTTGTGAAATGATAGTTAATTTGCATTTCTACAATATCTTCTAATTAGAGCTGGTAAAAAAACAAAAAAAAACAAAAAACCCAAAACCCAGTTCTTTAACATACAAAAGTTTGCAACCTCTTCAAAAAACAAACACACACACTCCCTTGACTCTGAAAATGCTTGCCAATCACCACTCAATTTCAAACACCCCATGTCTTCACTTTGAAGAAAGGTGATTGAGAAGCAAGCATCTATTCAAAATAGGGTGTACTTGTACACCAGGGACATCCTGAGCACATAACATTCCTGGTTTCAAACCCTTTTTTTGGTGTTCATAGCAAAGTAGTCAGGGCTATAATCAGATCATCTGCTCTACAAAAGGGGTCAACTTGCCATTTCTGCATACTGAATTGTCAGCATCCTCCGTATGGCTAATGTGACTGCCATCCAATGGTACCACAGGTTATGTATTTTGCACAGATTGCACCCATATTTATCCTGTTATACCCTTGCAAGGACAAAGGAAATTTATTTACTTACCTGTATAATAACTGGAGTTCTTTGAGATGTGTTGTCCATATATTTTTTATATATATATATATATATATATATTTTTTACTCTTGGTGTGAAGGCGCCCCACGTATTTGTGATCAGCGTCTTTTGGCCAGCAACCTCCGCTGGGGCTACACTTGCTCTCTGAGTGTCCTCATGGTCTGTACCAAGGGCATAAAGAGCAGTATGGCCCAACCAGCTCTCAGTTCCTTCTCATCACCCGGGGCTGTGAGAAAAAGTGCTTAGTGTCTACATCTTAACACACTTACCTTAACTGTTTTTACTATACTTCTTGCAATTAGTGTTAGATTAGAATGAGTTAGCTTATTGAACTGTAAGCATATCCTTTTGATAGGTTTCACATGCACCTTGAGTATCATCATGCTCCATACCAAGGACATAAAGGGCAAAGGAGCCCAATCACCACTCAGTTCCTTCACCACCACAGAATCCAAGTGACAAAGGACTCCAAAGTAAAAGGGAAGGAGGGTGGATCATGGAATACTGTGTGTGTGTATACAGATAGATAGATAACATATTGAAGAACTCCAATTTCTGTACAGGTAAGTAACTTTTCTTTCTTCCATATTTTTAAACTATATACACACACACACACACACACACCACACACTCCATCCTTGGTGACTCACAAAGCAGTAACCTAATCTAAGAAGGTGACTGCTCAGAGTCTAGTCCGAGAGATCGTAGTTCAGCTTTGCCAAAAAAGGATCTGACCTTGACGCTTCAAAATGGAATATTTCTTTTTAAAAGTATGGATTGTCCCTCCTTCCACAAGTGGCTGCCTTACAGATATCTGTGATAGGAATATGTCACAAAGAAGCTGTGGATGCTGCCTGAACCCTATTAGAATAAACCTGAACTGCAAAAGTCTAAACTAGCCATATCATAAGAGGACCTAATACAACCAGAGGCTCATTCAGACAGCCTTTGGGCTGAAATTAGATGACTTTCATTTGCTCAGCAACTACTACAATCTATCTCAAGAAAATTCTGAACTGATTAGTTCTTTGTAAATAAAAGGCAATGCTCCCCCACTGGAGTATGCAAACTAGCTTCTCCTTTATTTGAGTGACGTTTAGAAAAAAATATAAGTAGATGGATCATCTGATTCAAATGAAAGTCCATAACCACCTTTCGTAGGAATTAGAGTGGGGTCGAAAATAATTTCAGAATGAAATACTGTACAGGGTGGGTCTACCATGAGGGCTTGTATTTCTCCAAATTCTTTTTGCTGACATAACTGCAACCAAAAAGGAGGCCCTCATCAACGTAAGTAGCAAAGAACAGGATGGCATGGGTTCATAAGCAGAGGACTTGCACATGATGATGCTCCACATGCGCTACCACAGCCCCAAAGGGATAAATTCATCATCACCATGGTTCTGATTGGAGGGGTGGCACAAAAATAATTGCAAAGTTGATTGGAATGATTCCACCACCCTGGGGACATCAGTACATTTTGTAGTATTAGGCATATCCAAGGGATGTCTGCTCAGAATGTAAACCTATTTTAGCAAATCTTGCATGCAACTAAGGCCTAATTTTGGGATGGGAGAATAGGGGACTTGGATCTTTTCTTAGTGGAAGCTTTCACAGGCAATCTACCTCTTTTTTTCCTCCAAGGAGTGATGCTCCTTATTCTCAGAAAGCTTTTTGTCTGTCTTACCAGAGACAGAAGCTGGATTCTTGAATGATGGACATCTGGAACTGACAAATCCTGAGCTTACTGAAACACTCATAGAAAAGGGTGGAATTTGTCCAAGGAGTGGGACTAAAATACTCGGTCACTTCTGCAGTCAGTCTTACGGAGCTGTCGAATAAAAACATCTGCAAACATGCTTCCTTGGCTTCTGAAATCCTTTTCAAGAAAAATTTATGAACGACACATTTGCTAGGAGTCCCCAGACAAAACAAGACAATAACCTAACTAACCCACTCTAATTTAACACTAATTTACAAGACATAGGAAAAACAGTGAAGGTAAACACAAGTAGTCATAGACACTAGGTAGTTCCATCTCAGTCATGGGCAGTGAGAAGGAACTGAGTGCTGATTGCCCTTTATGCCCTTGGTACAGACACTCAGGGATCACACACGGTTCTGAAGGATATGGCTGGCCAAAAGACTCAGATCTCAAGTGCAGAGAGCACAGGTACACCAGGAGTGGAATACGTATCTTTACACATATGTTTATGGACAAACACTAAAGAATGCATGTTCCCACAACCAGCTTACTGAAATCTATTTGGAATAGTTCTCAGTGAGGATTCTCCATCACTTGAAGTTTTGTTCAGACTGTTGTATTACCTTTGTTCTCTAGGGTGAACCAAATGATCATCAAAAAGCCTTCACAAAGGATTTTTTATATTGACTTTCTACAAAGTCATGGATCAATTTTTAGATGGCACTGCTGGTTTCCAACGCACTTACTGGTATTGGTCTTGACTACATTTAAATGGTAGTAATGTAAGAAAATAAGGTGACAAAGGCTAAAATGAAATATAACAGACCTGTATGAACGTCTGCTTTGATCTTCATTGTCCTCAAGAAACTGGGGGCGTTGGGCATGCAGCTCAAGTTCTTCTTGTGACTGATCTTGTATGAGGCGAGTAGTCTAGAAATCAAACAGAGATCCAAGATAAATCTTAAATCCAGCAATACTAAAGTCAAGGCACAGAAGTCTGTATCACAGACTTGGGGCAAGTGTACATCTCAAGTATTCAACAGAAATGGTATAAGAGCATAAATTTATAAATACACAAATTCTCTAAGAATTTAGACAGTGTATCTAAACATTAACAATGGGACCAACACTCCTCTACTGTGAAGCGAGGAGGGTAGCAAAAGTGCAGAGATGGAAGGGCTACTGGGACTTACAAAACAGGATAAACAGAGCCAGTACACTACAAATTTTCCCTCTCACTGGGAGTCCCATCTATGTCAAATCTGCAATCAGGTCTTATTGTTTGGGTCATGTAAAGGGCAAAATCAAAAAGCAGTCACTCTACATAGCCCTTTCATAGGACTAATGACAGCAGAGCCTCACAGTGAAGCTGGTACATCATGAAATTTGAAGGAAAAGGAAGCTCTAATGTAGATAGCTAGAAAATACTCACCTAACTCCTCTGGGGATACTAAAACCCATCTTTTGAGGTGAACTGGGGAGTTTTCATCTTACTCTGCGGCATGGGTCACTTGCAGGTTTAAACTACAGTAAATGATGGATTTTCTGTAACTTGAAGTCTTTAAATCATAATTTGAGGACTTCAGTAATTCAGCCAGAGCTTAAGGGCCTATTATAGGTGTAGGCAGGTGAAGTTCTGTGGCCTGCATTGTGCAGGAGATCAGACTAGATGATCATGATGGTCCCTTCTGACCTCAAAATCTATTACTCTAACTTTGCAGAGTTTCTCAGGTCTTCTGATCCCCGCCCAACATTCATCATAGGAGGATACGATGTGGTTGTATATTATGCAGTTTTATAGCGCAACTATCAGGAAAACAATCTCATAGTAGTTACAGCATGCATTCAAGTTAGATACAGTAAGGTAATGCTAAGATTATATAATGGAAAAGCATGTCATTTGCAGCAAAAAATGAAAACAAAAACAAAAACTGAGAAACATTTAAAAGTCTAACCCATAAGAGTTGTTCCATAAATTAGCATAATGAATTTCCGATCTGTCTATGTAAGGTTCTTTCAATGACTCACATTAAGTGTATCCATAGCATACGCGTATCTTGATTTTTAGATTTAAGAAAGGAAACTGCCAGAATATATAAAATAAAGTGACACTTTTTATATTCTTAAACATGTGGACAGGGAAACTTATTATTTTGCCTTTTTTGTTTTTTTCCCCAGTTTGTTTTGCTTTTGTTGTGTTTTAAAGAAAAATGACTAAGCAAGAAAAGTCTTCTTGAATCTTCCCTCATTTTCTTGGTGCTTTACATGAACATCCCCTGGAAGAGGCTAATGTCTTCACAAGGTCAGCCTCACAGAATGAACAACAATATATTCTCTCTTTCATAGATACTCACCACATTAATAGTCTCTGGATTAGGAACTTGAAGCAGATTTGGTTGATGGTAACTTGTTGAAAGAGCCTGAGACTCAAGTGTGCTTGAATCCTGTAGCTGCTGTACAGCTGAAAATTGATTCTGTTGATTGTAGCTATCATTCACTGTAAAACCTGTCAGAAATTAAAGAAAGTCAAAAGCCCAGAATAATGGAAAATGTACAAAATGTAAAACGGGACAAATAAATAGTGCACTACTTATTTAAATGGTAACTTCAAAAAAAGATTAAATAGTAATTTACAGCAGAAAATTGTGACATTACACTCTTCACTAGTAAGCATAAGCAAAATACATAAGCATTCTGGGCATCTACTAAATATTCACAATAATAGGGTTACTTACCATTAGCTGGAGTTCTATTAGACAATCTCCTCCATAGAACAACAGTTTGAAGTTTCTTCAAGATGCCTCTATTACCTCAGAGCCATTGAAATTTTGAATTTCTTGTACGTAAGCATGCATGTGTCAAACAGGTTGACCCAGCTCCCTTTATCCATGTTGATATCACGCTCCCTTACTTACACTGGAAGCCAATCACAAAGATGCAAAGCTCAGAGGGGAGTATGGCGGGTGAGTGGAGGAGATGACCCAATAGGAGAACTCCAGTTTCAGATAAAGTAACCCCATTTTCTCCTACTTTGGATCTCCTCCACATATTCCCACTCTTTAGATTATAGTAAAGTAGTGCCTTTTAAAGGCAAGTTGCAAAGTAAAAATAAAATTGTGTTTGAGGCCATCTTTATCTATCAGTAATGTACATAAAGATGGGTTTTCTCTGTGGTTTTTCTTTGGTAATATCAGATTATAACCTTCCTCTTTGCTGAAGGAACAAATGGGACAGTGCCATCACAAAAGGCTAATTGAAAGCCAGGAAAGTATAGCTCAGATTTCAGCCTGTTCTGTCATCAACATGAAACATAACCCTTTAACAACAACAAACAACAACAAAACCAAGAAAAAGAAGACAGGATCTGATATTTCTAATAGAAAAAACAAGTACAAATTTTTGGTGGAAAAGAATCAGGCCATAATTATGCATCATTAAGGAACAGCAAAGGGTACAATTTTATTTTTGCTGTGCAGTTTGCCTTTAATGGACAACAGATGAAGATTATGAAAATAATGTAGAACTGTACAAGCATATCAAAATGACCACAACAGCATCAGAGCCTAAACAGCAATGCTTACAAAATGTTTGCATATTACTAAGCATCATTCATTGGGATGTGTCAGGTGAAAGCAGAAGTTTCCTTCCAGTTCCTCCTACGGTAGTTCTCACAACAGAGAAATACAGTTATCAGTATAGTAAAGTCACAAATAATTGTACGTAAAACCTGCAACTGGCTCTAGTTTATTTATAACTAAGCACTCAGTGTAACTGTGCAGCTTATATAACTATTTCTTTCCTAGATCAATCAAGGTTGGAAGAAAATAAGATTCAATAAAGTGAAATTCAGAAGAATCCCCAAGAAGAAAAGGACACAACTTCCGAACCACAACTCCCTCTTTTTTCTAATGGTCAGCTTACTTAACCAAGGCTGTAGATCATTTATTCACCTTGCTGAGGTAACTGCCAGACTCAAAAGGTACCCTGAAGAACAAAAAAGGTATCCTGAAGAACAGTCTCATGGGAGTTTAAAGCAATAATAGAGAAGATTGTTTGGGATCAAATTTATATCTGATAGCAAAGAAAATGTTTCAGAAGAACATATTCAGGCCACCTTTGAAAAGAACAAGCAATTCAAAAACAAAAATTATGACCTTTAGGAGAATTTGCACAATCATTCCCCCATCCAAAAAAACCCCAAAACAGTTGTTAAATATACCAGAAGAGACCACCTACAAATCCAATCAAGCCAAGATGAGGTAACGCAGTATCTTTTTCCCTAGACAAGGGTGCTAAAATGTCACTATGACTGAACATCATCCATTTCACTTCATGGTTTTACAGTAAAGGGATTATGGACAATTTCCAAGAAATCCTGAAACAATCTCGAAGTTTCAAACAAAGTGCTCAGAAGGAAGATCTGTACAATCAAAGTTGTTGTTGGGTCACACTGAAGTATTAGGCCCTGCTTGTGAAAGAAGTTATGGACTAAATATAAACTGAAGGTATAACAAGGAGTATCAGAGACTCACATTGGCCTGTTTAATTTCTTGTATTAAGATCATATTTCAACAGTTAAGATTTTAAAGGCATCTGGGAATTCAATACAGCAACTTCACTGTTCTGAAGATATCTACTACTACTGTACTTCTACAGTGCATCTATTTTATAGATAGGGATTGTAAGGGACAAAGCAATTCTGTGTCTTACCAACCATGTCTACACATGAAGTCTGTGACAGAGCAAGATATAGAACACAGATCTCCCAGACACTCAGTCCTGTGCTTTAATCAAAAGAGCATACTCCTCTCCTGAAGACCTTATCTTCTTCCTTTACCAGACATGGAATAGGGGATATTTGGAATTGAGTAGAGTCCCAGGGGCCTATTACTTGAGAATCCCTGTTCGCAGTGTGTTGTACCAGTGATGGTCTCAGGATATCAGAAAGACAAGGTGTGTGAGGTAATTTCTTTTATTTGGCCAACTTCTGTTGGTGAAAGAAAAGCTTTTGAGCTTACACAGAGCTCTTCAGTCCCTCTAAGTGCTGGATGAGATGCTATACCACTTGCAGCATGACGATCAATTTGTGAAGCTTGCTCCTTCTTGGCTTGAGGACATCGTCCAAGAAATTTTCTTTCACTTCCACATGAAGTTATTAGAGAAACACTCTGGAAATCAGCTCATTATCAGAAAAAAATGTCTTGCATATAAGGACTACAGACAAACTATAGTATCCCATGGGAAATATGGCATTTGTATTTTCAGTCATGATCTGGTGTCTTCACTTCCAAAACTGACATCCTTTAAATGGTAACAATTTTCTGGAAAAGGACTGCCTCTGAACCTCCAAAGATATCTTCAAATGAAGAGGAATGGAGCATTCACATGTAGAAGCTATCAAGAAAAACTCAGTGCTTCATCATTCTTGATGTTGTCAAAACCAGCTCAAGTGAATAATGGATTATGGTGCTGGCCTATATTGCCCTCAGGGGAGGAAATCAAAACTCTTTAAAAAGTCTGAATAGTAAAAGGAAGGAAATCTATCTGAACAAAACAGGCACCCTGTAAAAGGCTGTGAGCCCTACAAGAAAAATGTAATGTATGATCCTATAGACCTGCGTAGGTCTATGTCTGTTCTCTGACAAATACAGAAAGTGGTTGGTTGTTTATTTGAAGTAGTAATTATGAAAATGTCAGAACACTCCAACATTGTTTTATTAAGAAATTAAACATTTAACCAATATATTTAACAAGAATTACAGCCTATAAATACCAAGGAAAGAAAATGTCTGGGGCTCAGATATCCTACTTAATTGGCAGGAAAAAGTAACTGAGGAGCATGAAGCACAGATGCAGACATAGGGAGAGGGTCGACCAATTTAACGCATGCATCCGCGCATATGCTTACCTACCTGAAATTCAAAAAAACTGAAGGGCTCCAGGATCTTCAAGGAAACTTCAAAGAGTTGGGAATCTGTGGATGAGATTCCAAGTAGAATAGGAGAAGTCTTATACAAATGAGATTTTTATTACGTTTTATAAAACATGTTGGGCAGCATACATTTCTGTGGTAAAAATGAGTATCACTAGGATTCCAAAAAGACAATTTTTTTGGAAAAAAGCATTTACCAATCTATATTTGCCAAATGACAAGGAACATACAGAAACCAAAGCATAAATTACATAATACTTTGAGATGAAAACTGTGTACTTTCTCAATTTGAAATGAACGACCAAATCGGAAAATTAACAACTGGAGAAAAATCAGTAATTCTGCCATTTTTTTCTACTTGGAAAGATCTCAGATGGGATGGCCAATCACAAAATTCCAATGGACTTTAATGGATCCGGATTGGGCCTGTTTAATAAATCTAGAGACATTAATACCTTCTCTCAACTCTTATTTAAAATGCATTGTAACAAAGTATCAAAATCAGCAAAACAAAATAAAACATCCTAAATTGTATAACACACTGAAGTAATAAGAGGCAGTTATATTTTTATGAAGGGAGCTATTTAACTAGACAAGGAATCAAATTTAAAATTGAGGAAATGAAAAACAATAGTAAATCAAATCATTTACATGTAATTAGGGAGCATCAATAGGTATTATGTAATTAAGGTTGAAACTAAATGCCCATACGTCCAAATTTTAAACCACTCCTCAGTCACAATCAGAAACTGATCATCTTAAAGTTTTGCATACCACATTCTACATTCCACAGGTATTTTTCTGGAAAGTTTTGTAAATATCAGAAAAAGTTTTCACATGACCCACTACTGACCACATGCCTTACAATTGCATGACCTCCATGAGGGCATGTTTACACTACAGATTTAAGTCGGGAGCTGCCCAGGCTTCTCGCCTACCCACCAGGAGCAGTGCCCTGAATGGGGAACTGGGCACGGCTGGGAGCAGGGGGGCAGCCAGGCTCTAGCTGTCCAGCTTTCTTGTCAATTAATGCTGGAGCCCTGAAATTGACAAGACAGCCAACAGCCAATGTAAGTAAGGCAGTGTCTATATAGACACTGTCACGCTAACTATACCGAAGTAATACCTATGCCTCTTGTGGAGGTGGAGTTATTATGTCTGCAAAGGCCTATACTTTAAAAATTTAGGTGTATTCTTATTACTTAGCTAATTATAAAGGTATAAAAGAAAGAATCAAAAGCACTGGCTGCCGGTGTAAGGGCCTTCTCTTACTGTGACAGTCTGAGGCCTTGTTCTTAGGCTAAGGCCTTCGGTTAAGCAGCAGAGGCCAGCCATAAACCGGAAAGTGTATAGTCAATCCTTACATTCCAAACTAGTCACACTGAAATAAGGTGCTATTGGGCTGTTAGGAATACAATCCTGTCCTAATATTCTTATCACCTCCAAAAGAAGGAAAGAGCCTAAAAAATGTAAAAGGAAACTTAGTTTAATAGCATCCTGTCTGGCAAGAACTCACTTATCAATAGCTGGAATGTAAAATCCTCATTTCTGTATTGTTCTATCACTGTAGTCTC